TTTTTCAGTCCAATGATCCAGTAAGCGAATGCATTCAAACAATTCATCTAAAACAGCGTTAATATAAAGGAAACCAGGCTGATTACATCAGAAATTTCAGAGAGAACAGGGACTCGCGTTGCGTTTTCAGTGAATTATTAATTCCAGTGTATTTCGCTTTAAAACACAAGCTCTGTCATATTCTGTGATCTCTTAAGAGCGTGAGCCCTCACACATCGCGCTGTATGAAGTAGTACAGACTAGGGGTGGAACGGTTCAACTTCCTCACGGTTTGTATCACGGTTTTATAGTCACTGTTTCGGTATGGTTCGGTATGTGCTATGTTTAGGCAAAAACTATACTGTCAAATAAAAATAAAGAAAATAAGAATAATCTATCTAACTACAAGCAACAGTACAAATAAATGCAATAGAGTAAAGATACAAATAAAATAAACAGTGATTTTCAGTTTTTTTTTTAGGTAGGTCTAACATTAGTTTTTAGGTACAGAAATTGAATAAAGTAATGAAATGTAAAACAGCATTGCATATTTGACTGTATAAATTAAAGATTAATCTTTATTAAAGTTACAAAAGCTATTCAATCAAGAGCAGTGAGTGCTTTTGATGTTGTTGCTGTTTGATTAATATTAAGAAAGTGCTGTCACTTTAAGAGAATGCACTGATCCAGTGCACTGATACAGTACGTTCAGCCGGCTATGTCTGCTATAGGATACTTACTGAGACGGGCATTTTGACATAATTTATGTGTGAATTTGTCCATTTAAACACAATACTTCAGAGAGAACCGTACAGTTCAATTTTATTCCGCGAACCGTTCCACCCCTACTACAGACTGAACAGATTGTCAACACATCCCACAGCTGTATGGCCAGATAAGACTCAAACTATGTTTTCTCGACTGGATAACCAGTCTCGCTAGTAAAGTTTTGATGGATGAAGACTGCAATCAAGGTAAAGACGATTGCGGTGGTGTATAGGAGTCATACAGTAAGCACGCGTGAGTCCGTTATATTAATGCGTGTATAAGTGATCTTGACGCACTGATCGCGCATTGTATGTATGCACAGGCACAGACATTTCCATACATTCACGTTGTTTCCAGACACATTCACGATAATGTTTTGATTTGTCATGTTTATGTTGCTGTGTTTAGTTATACGGAATGGATCCGTGTACTGTAGTAGATATATGCAGTCAGCAGGCGGTTGGTTTAGGATTTTTTTGGCATCTCCATGTGGTCCTGTTCGGTATCACAGCTTGACTTCTCTAAAATTTAAAAAAGCTCTTTGCTGTTGCACTGTACACATACTATAAAATTCTGATTTTTTTTATTTTTTCTTTCATATGTGCTTATATGGGCTCCTTATAGCTGTGGTTCTTTGGTGTCCTTTTGGAGTTTCTAAGTGTCCTTGTTTGGAAAGACATCTAAATTTATCTTGAAAAAAGCTTGCAGAAAATACAGATTTTTGAGAATCACCCTTCAATCTTTTGGTTTACTTTGCTGGATGCAAATGATGACAAAATAAACATTTGAAACAACATAAATGGTCTATGCTTAATTTCATGAAGTGTGCGATTAATCGCGATTAATCACAGAAAAAGGCTATTAAATTTTTTTACATATATTAACATATTTAAATGGAAAATATTTATTTTAAATTGTAATATACAATATTCACAATATTACTGTTTTTACATTTTTTAATGAGCCTTAATGGGTATAAAAATCTTAATTATTCCAAACATTAGAACCAGTGTATACATAGCACATTTATTTATTTATTTACATACATACATACATACATTTGATTATGTTAGATCCTACATCAATTCTGCTTGGCCTTTGGGCCCCTAGAATTTTTTCTCACATTTTACGCCATTAACACCGGCCCTAGAAGTTGCAGCACTAATGTACTAACACACAGCTCGGTTGTGATATATTCCCTTGGGCTTTGCCGAAGCATCTCCTCCAGTATCAATTAAAAGTGTTATCTTGCCATCTCTGTTTTCCTCAGATGTTTACAAATTCTTTTTTTACGACTGGCGCTGATGGCATTGATGATGGCAAAATCTAATGTGTAGATTTTTGTACAACAAACACATGAATTCTCGTGTGATGATTTTGACTCAAATCAGAAATGTATCCAATCCAGGACCACATATGAAAGTAGAGCAAATCGGATTTGAAAGGATTTGTTCACATGCCTCAGATTAGTGTCACATGTATACAAACATTCAGATATGGCCTGTCTGCACCCTGCAGTTTAAAATAGCCAGTGACAAAAAAATCTGTTCTTCATCACCATAATCCCACAAAATAAATCAATAAGTAAATAAGCAAACGCATGATCAGATAAGCATTTTTCAGCAATATGCACCTGTGAACTGGAGTGTGACTCACTTCTCTGTGCCAGTTCATCTACAGTATTTATTTATTTCTTTGGTAGAATAATTTCATGTCAACCCTTTATTCCAGCCATCTCATAATAAGCTTGAGTCAGGAACCTCTCATCATATGAGAGACGTATCCACTCTAAACTCTCGTGTTTTCATCTGCCTTGTCTAAAGGCCCCTCTCCAGAGCCAATTCTTAGCTCCATTTAACTCACTTCATTGCTGGTGACTGATTCCAGTACACCTCATACACAAAGTTAATGGGCTGCTGGAATGCATCAGAATATTTATTACATCCCAACAGATTCTTGACTAGACAAATGTATTTTATCTTTATATATTAAACTTTTAATGATCTACCTATCAAAGATGAACTCGCAATAAGCATGAAAGGTTGCAAACTCAGCAAAAAGTTGCAAAGGTTCTGGTACATGACTCAGTGACATATAATATCCACAATAAAGAAAATAAAAACTGTTTTAAAAATCTAGTTTAAAAATGGCAAGTTTTTAAAAATATGTTAATATATGTACATATATCTTTATTTGCATGTGACTCAAAGTAGCTTTATTTAAATATTTTGACAAAGAAATAAAAGATTGTCAAACAACTTTTTTTCCTTTTTTATTGAAACGTCAGTCATAATGATCAAGCTGAGAAAGTAATGTCAATATATACAATTTACAAAGGATTGTAACAGGGGAAAAGAAAAGACTAAGAAATAAAAATAAAGAAATAAAGAAGAGAATAAAGTAGAGATTATAATTACGGGTTTCCATACACAAAAACATTACTGCATAAAGCTGTATAATTTTAAAGACTTTAACAAATCTTTTCTTTTGGCTTTACTACCATCTCATAATGACACTGTAGAGAAATATATCAGACATATAATCTTTATCAGGATAATCTCCATAATAATTAGGAAATGTATAATAAATTGTATAATTTAAATTTTTTTGAATAAAAGTAAGATTCACAGCTTTGTCGATGTTGAAAATAGAGTAGAACTTTTTTTTTTCTCAAGGGAAAGATTAAAATCAGTTTTTCTACATAGAAGTTGAGAGTCATCATTTTACCTTTTTCTTTCTAATTTTTTTTTTTTAAACAAGATGAGAGTTCTAGTAAAGGTGCATTGGATATGGACTTAGGTAAAGACATTCTTAGAATTGTTGTGTTCAAGTCATTATATGTCTGAATTTCATTTTAATGTATTTTTAAAAATAAATTAATAGTTAGGAATAAAAATTAGTGTCGTGCCATGTGCTATTAATCAAAAACTCAAAGACCTATAAATGTGTCACAGTGGGAAACTAAAAGATGCGTGTGTGTGTGTGTGTGTGTGCATGAGAGTGTGGGAGATTAGTTGAAGGGCTAAACCCTCCACAGAAGAGTCATCAGTCTTTTAAGCACATCTGTCAGGGATTTCAGTCATCGGAGAAAAGTATGAGTGTCTGTTTTGTGTCTTTGTGAATAGGATTGTGACCTTCACAGAGAGAACACGCAGCCCTGAAATGATTTACAAGTCTGCTCTGAGTGAGAGTGGGAAGGAGGAGAGGAAGGGTGAGACAGAATGACAAAGAGGCATAAAGGAAGAGGAAAGTCAGAGATTTCCACTTATTGATCCAGGTGGGAGTGTACAGAAACCCGAAAGCCCTCCAAATGAAGGACGTCCCACCGCAGCCGACTGTATACCTGTAATGTGACCCACTAACCATATGTAATTAAGACAAAGGGACTGGTGCCAGAGGGGCGGGCTGACTGAATGAAAAGTGAGTGGTGGCTCAGGAGAGGCTGAATAGGGGGTCGCAAACACAGCTGTGGAAAAAAGCCTGGCTTGAGAAGCTCTGGCAGGCGGGAATCATGACCGAAGGGCTGATTTACAGGAAAACTTTCCGCTTCATTAATGCTGTGCTGTCAGAGAGCTTAAATGGCCCGATATGTGACACAACCGTTCCTATCCATCTCGCTCTGTTTCTCCTGTCTCGTTTTTTTCTGTTGTCGTTCTCGTTCTCTCTGGTTGTTTGTTTTTGACTCTCCGCAGTGTCTCCACAGAACAAATTAAAGAGGATTAGTGATGTAAATCTGTTAATGAATCTAATATTCAAATAACATTGTGTTGCCCTTCTTGCAATCTCTCCTTCAGAACTCCCCTTCTCTTTTGTTTTACCAACAGTTTTACACAAATCAAATAATCAAATTTAGCAGTTATTTTAGCATGATTGAGATACTATTATAAGTTTTTATTTTTGTATTTTAGTAATTTTGTTTTTGTAATTTTTTAGTTTTTTATTTATTTATTTTTATTGCAGTTTTAATTATTTTAGTATATGAAGAATGTAAATGATAATGTTGTCTATTTTATTTCAGTTAACAATTATTTAAATTATTTGTATTATCATTTTTATTGTTACTATTGTATTCTAAACCATTTTGCCAGTAATGTATAGCATTAGACATCAGTGTGCAAATTGTTAGAAGAAGAAAAGGAGAAAGTTATGATCTGTTTAGTCAAAGACACAATTGACAGATTAATTAATTAATTGTTTGACCTCACTGAAATGGTGTTTGGATCACTCATCGATATTTCTTTCTTCCCCTCCAGGACAAATGACATAGGATGTACACTGCTGGTCATCTCTGTCTGTCTGTGCTATCATCCTTTTTCGCACTGGCCTGGGCTGTGGAGCCACTGGGCCAGGCTGCCCCCTGCTCCTCTCTGGTGGCTGGAGTCTTATACGGCTCCTTCTCACTCAGGGACCTCTTTCCCAGGCCGTCCACTCTGGCATCCGGATGCTCCTGGACTGTGGAGAACCCTGACCCCACCAAGTATTCGCTCTATTTCCGCTTCAATCGCCATGCCGGCGCCTGTTTAGCTTTTTCCCCACTGGTGCTGCCCCTGGACCACTACCTCTCGAACCAGACCTGTGGCCCCCCAGACCAGCCCACCTTCCCCTCGGACCCTGAAGCCGTCGAGCTTTGCATGGTCCCAGGACCCCACACGTTTCTGCAGTTCGATAAGAACTTTGTGCAGTTGTGCCTGACCACTCATCCCAACAAAGACGGAGACAACAGAGATGGGCTGTCTGAGGGCCAGGCCCCCTTGTCGGCGGAAACTCTGGACTTCCGGCTCGTAGAGGTTCTGCTCATTAATAATGAGAATTCAAGTCAGTTTACGTGTGGAGTCCTGTGCCGATGGTTCGAGGAGTGCTTGCACGTCGGCTCAGGCTGGGAAACCGAGAGCTGCAGTATCACCCAGACGGGATGCGTGTGTCCCAACACGGTGCCTCCGGTCTCCCTACTGCCCACTGCTCCCCACAACCACTCTTTAGACCCCAGCGCGAGCGTGTTGCAATCCCCACCCGACGACTGTTGTGTCACACAGCTGCATTCAAAGAACGGCATCGCTATAGCACCCAGGGATGTCCGGCAAGGTAAGCCAGGCTTCTTTCAGACCAGCTGCTAGCTGTTTAATTTATAGCCTGCTTCATTAAAATCAATTAAGCTGCTTTACAAGCTACTTTGTTTGATTGGGTAACCATGGGCTCATTTCGGATCACAAGCAAAGTGTTTCACTTTCAGCTTGATTTGATTTGATTTGGAGAGCTCATTTTATATTTCAATTATTAGCCTCTAATTACAAAAGGGAAAGTAACTTTAAAGCGCTTGGAACTGCCTCCAATCAGGATAAGCGTTTGTGATAAAATAGTAATCACTGACTCCCCTTGGCTGCACTGTTTGGTCCTGCTGATACTGGGTGAGGAGGCTACACCTACAAACGTGTGCTACTTAATGTTATACACTGTGTCCTAACTGGGTGTGACCGATAATTCCAGTGACAAATAATTTGTCAGTAGAATATAAACTTTTTGGTGTTTATTATGCAAAGTTAGGTCTGGTCCTCAAATCTGACTGGCTGAGCATCGATACAAGAGATGATATTTAGTACAGCACTTGGAACTGAATAAGTTATTTTTGTCTGTATAGTAATGTGGATTTCAGGGACTCTTTCTTTAAGATATATTTTTATGCCAGTAGATGGTAACAAATAACTTATGAACAACTCATTGAATCACTAAACCGATTTATTCAATACCCCTGATTCAATCAGGAGTAAACAAGTCATTCATTCACTGAACCACTGATTCATTCAGAACTGAGCAAGTCATTGAATTACTGAAAAGATTTGTTCAAACCACTGATTACAAATAAACTTGAACTGAATTGAATTTTGCCTGCTTGTCATCGCTGGTTAGGACAGAAACGAAAGCGTTAATGGAAGAAATGTATTGCTTGTCGATGTATCATGCCGAGTGACCAGATTTAAATGGTCTGTATCTCAAATCTGTCACTTGTCACTTTTGCTGATGACATCTTGTGTTGTTGATTTGTGTCACATTAAGCGTCAGGTTTGTGGGTGAGTATAGAGGTAGAGGACAGTTCATGGGTCTTGTTGATACATTTTAAATATATGTATTGCCATTATTCAGGTCAACTTTCCCCTCTGGCCCCCGCTGTGCTTTTTAAAATCTGCCCCGACAGACAGCTAATCAGACTCATGTAGGTGATCAACACCATTGATAGACTTCATTGTCAAGCTGCCACATATAGAAACATGCTGCGTGTGTTTCCAATTGAGAGAAATAGAGAATCAGTAAGTGTGTTATTGATGCAGAAAAAGAAACAACTAGATGGGGAAAGTGAGAATGAGAGGTCGTGTATGTGTGCGTGCTTCAGCCGGGCTTTTCCTGGCTCGCTCTAGTGCCTCTCTGCTAAAGCCACACTGAGTTTTATCCCTTGAGTCAGCATGCTGATTGGCTGTGCCAGACAGGAGGACACTGCCAATGTGGCTGCTACAAAGATGCATACTGCTCCTGTGCCCGCAAAGACTGCACATTAAACAGCCTTCTCCTCAAAGCTGACATCACTGACACCAGCCAGTTTCAAGCATGGAGAGTTCTTCTCTGGAAAGATGTTGACAGTATTTGTAGGTGTGTATTGGGATATTTTTTTTTACCTGATTAGGCCACTCTGGTATAGAGGATATAAAGCATCCCTGCACAGTAATTTCAAATTATTAGAACATCAGTGCATATAGGTCTCCTACTATATAATGTAATAATCCAACTTATTTTGCAATGCAAAAGTAAGCATGCTATTTTCTGTAAAAGTGCAAGACTTCATTAGCTCCTCCTATAGGTAAATAATTAGAAGAATAACAAAGTGTAGGGAACTATTTGCACTACAAACCAGTATGTTTATAATTATGACAATACATTAAATTAATATAATAAGGAATACCAGTTCACAATCAAGCAGCATAACAAGCTGTTTTGTAGAGCCAAAATAACTGGAAGCGAATGACACTGAAAGCCTTGTAGGTGTGTATTGGGATATTTTTTTTTACCTGATTAGGCCACTCTGGTATAGAGGATATAAAGCATCCCTGCACAGTAATTTCAAATTATTAGAACATCAGTGCATATAGGTCTCCTACTATATAATGTAATAATCCAACTTATTTTGCAATGCAAAAGTAAGCATGCTATTTTCTGTAAAAGTGCAAGACTTCATTAGCTCCTCCTATAGGTAAATAATTAGAAGAATAACAAAGTGTAGGGAACTATTTGCACTACAAACCAGTATGTTTATAATTATGACAATACATTAAATTAATATAATAAGGAATACCAGTTCACAATCAAGCAGCATAACAAGCTGTTTTGTAGAGCCAAAATAACTGGAAGCGAATGACACTGAAAGCCTTGCACATTCAAGTTACAAATGGCTGAAACTGCTCTTTTGTTAAAAATAAGGTGAATGTAATAATTAGACCCACAAGGATGCTGCACAATTTTTCATGTTTTTAGTGAGGGTAAATCTGCTGAAATCCGTGGAATAGGTTTGAAAATAAAAAAAGTGCACTTTAGGTTTTCCCTCATTAAAGTTTTAAACGTAATTAGTTGAATTTTGTAAGAATATGATTAAGATACTGAAAGAAAATTCTGGAAAAAAAAAAATGTTTTACATGGAGTGGGTCTATTCATGGTGGCCATCACATAATCAAACGAATACTCATTTTATTGTGCCTTAGTAACCCATCTATTGTTGTCGCAACACAAATGAAAATGACTAAGTGCACCTTATACTGTAGTGTATACAATTTTCTTGCTAGTAACAGAAAATTTCAGCCAAATACTTATTTTTTAAAACAATTTCTTTTGAAATCTGTTTCAAAATCCACTTGTTTTGAGTACAATTTTGTGAAAGACATTCATCGTCACATTCTGCAGGGCCTTCATCAGAGATCTGCAGGTGATACATGTTCTACCATAATCCGTGTATGTTGAACTGCAATTAAATCTTTTTGTTTAGATGGGAGATGAACTCACCACAGATGAAATTTGTTTCTGTGAACTGTCACCATCCCTTGGTGTGCAAATGATTTAATTACAGGCATGCTATCTGAAGGCTTAATTGGATTAATTATTTAATTGTCTTCAGGCCTAGGTATTTCTTGTTCATCTCTGGATCTCTGGATCAGAGACAATCCCTATGCTCAAAGCCCACGTGAACATAGAACTTCTCGCTCCTCCGTGTGCCACAGCCTTGAGATGAGGTTTGCGAAGGTGGATAAAATCCACACACTGTTACAGCATATCTTCTTTTTTATGCTAATGTTGTAGCTAATAGAGGCTAATTGGTGTGATTGCATGTGTGATGTTGATCTAGTTTCCTGTAGACAAAAACATCAGCTTGCAGGCAGAAGAAGCCAGATCGCCATGCTGCATTATCTACAAAGCTTGAGTTAATGTTGATATAATCACTCTTTGATTACATCCATTACATTTTTTATTTTTTCTCCCCATAAAGCACCTTGTGCATTGTGTGCATATATTTAGTGAATGCCAAATTTGACTTGACAAATTGCAGGAGTTAATAGAAACACACTGGCTTATACAGAGGCATTTGAAGGCTGAAGTTGATCGCAATGTCTGACAGCTCATAAGCTCTGCCGTTCTCAATGGTTTTAGTTTATAGCCTTTTTATTTGTCCAGAGTTTTCAACAAGGTACTTTAGGGGGTCAGTGGAGAAGACATATGAAGTTTCCTACCTTTTCTAACTTCTAATAACTTTATATCTCAGAATTACAACATTATTTCCCACTATGTGACTCTATATCTCACAATTCTATCTTTATTTCAAACAATGTGACTTTGTTTTGCAATTGCTAATATGAGCCACAATTGTCCTCTAATAGCAATAATAAAGTTCAAGTTTATCTCACAGTAGAACTTATTTTTGTGATTTTTTTTTTTATCTCACAATGTAAGTTTTTATGGTACAAATGTGACTTTATATCTCACAAATAAATAAATAAATAA